GTAAACCAGCGATATTCCAGGCCCGAATCTCAACCGGGTTGCCTAGCGTCGCGACGAGGCTGAAGTTTGTCGAGCAGGCAAGATTGCTGTTTTTCATAGTTTCCAGCCAGCAACGGATCTGTTCCTGCCTGTAGGCTGAAGTAAAGGCCCCCAGGTAGGCAACCACACCGCTGGAGAGGAGTACGTCGCCTGTTAAGTGGTTGTAGCGAATTCCTAAACTGTGCGCTGCTTCTGTCCAGCGCTCTTTTTCACCGCCCAAGCCTCCGATAAGTTGCTCGGCTCGTTCCAACTTCTTTGAGCAGAGATCGACTTTATTTTCGAGCTCGATCTTACGGCGCTTATTTGTCTCCAGCTCCTCAGTCAACACCTACAAGCCCGAAAAGACACTTTTTAATAGTCAAAATGGACATTGGCATTTTAAGCCAACATATAATCGTCGAAGAAAAACCGCCAATTTTAGCGTTTCGCAATAAGCCATTTTATCGAGGTTATAAATATTTGATTCATTGTTTAAAATCTTTTCAAGGACTACGCTAATATAAGGCACTTCAAGCTGAAAATAGCAAAATAATTCGTCTTATAATTGACTTTATTTTATTTCATTTCCAAATAAGTTTTCTATAGTCGATTTGGCCAAATTGTATTAGCTCAAACTATAATCTACAGTAGGTGGTACCGACTAGAAGCTAAGATAATGTAAACGGACCTCGCATCGGTCTTATCAACACCCTCAGCGGGAGTCGAACCGTGACAGTGCAGCATGTCAACTTGACACGAGTGCAGATGTGAATTTCAAGGAAGGCCAGGCCTTTTGCCATATCACATTCGTTGGTGTTTAAACCGGGAAAAGAGCTGGTTAGTGAATGGGACCAGAAACTTGTTTAATGATGGGTTATTTTTCCTCTTTAAAATGTACAGAAACCGTTTCTTGCTCCGAAGCCAGTATTCCTTTTTCTGGCTGCCATGCTAAGAAAACACAACTCCCCTATCAGTTTTGTGTATAATGTTAATCATAAAGTGCAATAATTTACCTGCAGTCTGGCTTGAACTTCTCTCAGAGCAGCCCGCTTTTTCTCAAGTTGCGACATGGCCGCGTTGTATTCGCCCATCGCAATGGCCAAGGCCTCTTTTTTCGGCGCTACTACTTTGGCCACACGGTCGTATTGGTCCATGGCAATTACCCATTTGCAAAGACCTTCACAGGCTGTGCTGGCCAACGCAACACGTTCAGGCTTGAAGTCGGGATTCGGAATGTACTTGTCGCGGATAGTTTTCATGATAGCTGATGGAATGTTGTCTTTGTCGTAGGCCTTAAGATTCTCCAGAAACTTCATGTCACCAAGTAGCTTCTTTGAGGGACCCCAGAAATCCTCGATTTTCTTGCCAGACCCTGAAGGGTCGTTGATACGATCCGCCTTTATGCCTTTCAGCACACACACGGCCTCCATGACGAGACGAACACCGGCAGGTGGGGATTTCATTGTCTTCACAATGGTAATATCCTGCAGATTAATGGAATTCAGGAGATTGCAAATACGAATAACTGTCAAAAGATTCTACTCCTGCACAAATGTATTAGGAGTTAAGATGAAAGATTCGGATGATTCAGCGACTAAAATTATCAAACTTTCACCCAATTTCGATTGAGCT